TATGCAGAGTTCTGTCCAAGCGTGCTTCAATCTTCCTCTAAACCTTCTAGATGCAGCAAAGTGTATTTTAGCTGCACTCAGGGATTGTCATCTGATGGATCAAACAGGGGACTGCAACCAGCTGAGAACCTCCCAGTTCTAACCTGAAGCTTGACAAACACTAATCACTTAATCCATAACCATAAAACAATAGCATCTTGATACTTTAAACATCATAAAAAAAAATAATGCTTTCATTACAAAGCAGAAAGTTAAATTATAACACACTACACCATGCAGCAGCAAAGCTGCAGCACCTCTGCTGCGGCTCCTAGGACAACACAACACAGCCCAGCTGCTCTGCTAGAGCTTTTGCACACTCCTGCAGACAGTCTCAGCATCAGCAGCCAGGGATGGGTGGCAGGTGAGCCTCCTTCTGCTCCCCCTTCCACCGGCCTAATTAATCTCCCACGATGACACCGAGACTTTTGATGTTCAGCTCAGAAAGCTCAGGACCATGTTGTGGCTTGTGTAAAGCACTCAGTTCAGCAACGCAATAATCCTCTTGATGGCTAATTATAGCTGCAGGGAACAAACACAAGAACTTAAATTACTACTTTACAATACTGTAGGACATCATGGACTCGTGGAATAAATCACAGGACAAGAACATTGGTGCAGAAAGATATACCTTGTTCAAAATCACAAAGGCAGGAAAGAAGCTGGGTAGATGTTGCATTGTTTATGAAGAATGCATATTATACGCTTCACGTAATCCTTGGGTATGGATGTACGCACCAACGCTCAAATCCAGGAAACCTTGTTGAACAGGGTAATGCTGGAGTCTACTATAAATAACTAGAAGAGAAGGTGGCAAAGTTTTAAGAAAGAGAAATAGCGGAAGAGCCAGAAAAGAGGAAAAGACTTTTGGAAAACTCAGTATCAGTAAACAGAGGGAACCGATGAAGGCCAGCAAGGACAGAAATTCTTGCATGGCAGTTCCTGGCAGTTAAGCCACAGCAAACCATTTCAAAGAGGACAAAAGACTGAACGTGAAATAAAGCATTAATCCATCTGAAACCAGGAGCTTTCTAAATGACACGACCATTTAAAAATATTAAAATAGGGAAAAAAAAATCACGTACATCTCAGGATGAACATAAATGATTAGCAAAGAAATGTGAATAATGTTTTCCCTGGCTCCACGCGCAAGCCCAGAAGGCCGGAGCGGCGGGATGAGGCAGCCCCGTA